TCGTAATGTCACATTGTTTCCTGAATGTTATATTGTTTGTTTTCATGTTATTTGGCTACATATCCATATAAAGGTATTTGATTTTTTAAATATAAAAAATTATGCATATTCTTTTTTAGAGTTAGATAGATGTTACTTTTAAAAAATAAATTACTTATAGTGTAGGGTTTAGGGTTATTTGTACAAAATAATAATTAATATATGAACTAAATATTGAAATAATGTTTATTAAATATAAAAATAATAATCATAATATAAGGCTTTGAGTTATCCCTCTTATTAAAGTTAACATTTTAAGACTTGTTTGGGCCACATTATTTTCAAAAAAAAATACATTATTCAACAGTGATTTGACATAATTTCAATCACACATTTTTCAATAAAATAATATTACATGTAAATCTAAATTTTTTTCTTATTTTTTAATTACACGTTTCTCATTGATTTGATATGAATAATGCATTTTTTCCATAGAATGTGGCTCAAATATGGGCTTAATATGCTACTTCAAAACTCAGCCCTTGTTTGATTTTCATTACCTTAAAAATACATTTTTCTTTTTTATTCTTAACAACGTATTTTTAAGTAAAATAATATTACAATCAAACTCAAAACTTTTTCCTATATTTTTACAACACATTCTGAATCAACCTACTATTCGTAAATGCATTTTTAGAAAATAATTGGGTTCAAACAAGTCCTTAGTATATTATGTGTGTCAAAAACCTTAAACAAGTAATTTGATCCTTCTAAAAATCCGAAAAAAGTAATTTAGATTCTAATGATGATGTTTTCAAATGAGCAACTATCTAATATAGGCACCATAAGTGTAAAATCTATTATTTGGTATTCATTAAGCGAGCCCATTAAATGTAAACCCCCCCTCCCCCCCTACACCATTGTTTTAAATATAAAAGCAATAATGAACGCATAAGTGTTTAAATTGCTCTTTTGAGAACTAGTTTGCAACTTCCAGAAAGTATAGGGACCAATATGTACCATAGTTCAGGAATGAATCCACATCAAACAGAAAGAACATGGACTAAAATATTTTGAAACTTTAGGGACAAATTAGTGCAATCCGAAATATTTAGGGGCATAGTTGCAATTTATTAGAAATGTAGGGGCCAATGTGCGAATTGCTTAAAATCCAGAGATTGTTCCTCAATTGTAGATAAGAAGTCGTGTTTGGCAACTGGGACAAAGTCTCAATTAAACGGGGAATCATCTGTTGGAAATTATGTTGGTGGAATGATACCGAATTTACGGGTACTGTATATGCATTTTAGATATCAAAATTGCACTTACCATATATGCACAGATTGTATACCGAATTTGCACAAACTTGATTTTACGCATATAATAAGATTAAATACCGAATTTTCTCATACCGGTTTATAATATTAATTAATTACACAATAAATTAAATTATCATAAACCACAATATATTAATCTAATTTAGAACTAAATTATATTAAGTTATGTAAAACACGTTAATTTAATAAATATAAACGGGAAAGCTGAAAATTAACAGAAATTTCAGAGAAAAAAATTAACGACGTGCTTATAACTTCATATAAACTTTTAACCCGAGGTCTGTGTAAACACAGTGTCCTTAAAACAGATTCGCTCTCTCACCATACGTGCTTGAGTTTTAATCCGAGCGTCTGTTTCCCAGAATACAACGGTATATAGTAGAATCTGAGTACCGCAGATACTATTCTAGCGAACTGATCTAGTATCCGAATAATATCACCACAAGAACAAGACATTACTGGACAAGGAATGCAGAAAAGAAGAAACTGTGTATGCAGGAACGTATGTGAGATTTTCGAGTGTGTTAGATTGCTGGAGAATGAGCCTTTTTATAGGCATACTGCCCATTAACATTGTGACCATTGTGAGTCCATTGGAGTTACTGCCCATTAACACTGTGATCATTGGGAGTCCATTGGAATTTTTGCAGTTTCAGAAACTCAAAAGTTATTGGAGAAAACAAAAAAATTTGCAAAAGATGGGCTCTCCGAAGGACTGAATTTTGCCTTGTTCGGTTCGACATTCGTGTGCACATGTCGCATCTGCACCCAAATTCAAGGTCCGAAAGTTATTTCGGTTCGAGATTTGCACCCCCCTGCGCGCGCATGAAGAGAGCCTCTATGCTACACATGATTACACCATTTCAAAGTGTAGGCATATATAAAGTGGTTTGTGCTTTCTTCATTTTCCTATATGGGACAAATGTCACTTTTCTCACATAAACTATCTTCCAATGGCCAACTTTGAGCTCCAATTTTTCATTCATCCGTTAATCAATTTTGGCAAGTAAATATATGGTTTCGATGCGCTCACAGAGGAGAACACATACAACTTTGATCTTCAAAATCGGACCAACGGATCTCACTCAAACTTATGCCAAAAGTGACAAATTTACTCATTTTTCTAACATCATCAACCCCTTCAAGAGCCACCTGATCAATTTTCGTGATGCAATTGAGAACCTGTTGACAAAGTATTTTAGGTGGGTTCCAAAACTCAGCGATCGAGAAAGCTACATCTTTGTAAAGTTCATCCGCGGGGTGTTCGAGCAGTGAGGCAGCATGAGCACAGTTAGCAATATATGAATATAATCTTAACGACAACCTTTCTATTCTCGATCTAATGAGTACTTAGGCAATGGTTTTGGCTATGTAAATGGGAGATCAATGAAATGAGAGATTTTCCAATTGAATATAATCAGTTTGAATATTCTCACTCAATTCATGGGTTAGATTCAAACGAAAACTCTTACAAGTATATCATGAGACACGTGAAATTTCAGGTTGGGATTAATTCACATGAGATATACCCGTCTATTAGTCTTCTTATACACGGTGTATTTGAACGAAGTAACTTCTACTTTCTTCTGGGGGAGTGGGGCCTAGCGCCCTTTTAAGTTTCTTATCTTTTATTTGTATTATTAATAAAATACTTCACAACATGTGGTTTTATGTAAAAGTAATACAAATATTAACAAATTGACATAATTGAATTTTTTATTATTAAAGAGAAAAGTGAGTTCCACTTGTGAGTTGAGAAGCAAAAAATGATAATTAAAATAGTGAAATAATAATAAAAAAAAAAATTTTTTTTGAGTAAAAATTGCTATCAAATGAGGGTTTAGTGTTGTGGAAAGTTCAATGATGGTAGTAAAGAGCTGCAGTTTGAATTAGCCCCCTTTTGAGCCCCATTATTTCTCATTATATTAAATTAAATTTCTCTCTCTCCTACTTTTAACCACACAATTTTCAATAAAATAATATTACACGTAAATATAAAACTTTTTAACCACTAATTTCTCAAAAAAATACTATTCATATCATTATAATCTACAAATAATGGGGCTCAAATAGCCCCTTAGTCTCGTCGTCTATCCATATAGTGATGTGCATGTAGGATATTTTTCTAACAAAATAATTTAATAATTAAAAGAATATTGATAGGCTCGATCACAGTTATATTAAATAAAGAAGCTTATTTATGTCAATTTTATTGATCAAATTTCAAAATAAGTTACATATTTTTTATTTTAAGTACATCTTGATATAAGCAACTTTCATTAAATTGGGAGATAGCTAGTGACAATTTTTGTAGCCTCTGTTTGAACTCCATTATTTTTAAAACACATTATTTCAAAACTTATTTTCAATCACACATTTTTCCATAAAATAATATTGCACGTAAAATCAAAATTTTTCTTTATTTTTTAATCACACATTTTCAAAAAAAATAAAAATTTCACAATATATTTTATTCCAAAATCACATTAAAATGGAGCCCAAACAAGGGCATAGTTAGTGTGTCAATTTGTCTTTGAAGTTTGGATATTTAAATTAATCGAACCGGACTGGTACCAATAGAACCAACGTCTATTCTTATATTCACAATTAAAATCAATACAGTTTTGAATTTTCAGAAATGTATGGATAACACGTACCGCTAATTAAAATAAAAAATCTTGAGTTAAATACACGTTAGAAAATGAGAATTATGATGGGAAGATGACATCGTAGAAATTAGCAGGGTTTTGCTACACTAAAATCGGGGATAACATAAGGGATGATTGAACATACACATACGGAATCAGAATTTTTTAATCCATGTCGAACCCACGCACAAAAATGTGAGGATCTATAATCATCTCTGTTAAGCAATTCGATCACTTCAACTTTATCCAAATTAGAATCATACTAGAAGCGTTCACATTTAAGATAACATGAATAGCCAAGCCCATTAAAGAGATAAAACTCCGAAAGAACTATACGATAAACTTTGTTTATTGTAACTATACTTTCATTTTATTTAATTAAATAATTGTACCTCAATTTTGTTCCACCGAATAATTACACCTTTAATTTCATCAATCATGCTTGTTTACATTCATCCACATGCCAAACTATGATTTGACAATTTATAGAAAATAAAAAAAAACACTAATTTTTCATCCAATCAATTTGTGACAGTCATTCAAGTGTTAAGCATGATATACATATTCAATCGAGTAGCTCAATCTAATTCCGTCACCGAGACCGACATAAATGCATGACAGAGGAGGCAAATTAGCCATTTATTTCAATGAAGATGTATTTATCTCTCGTAATTTGATTGTCACGTCATCGATTTTTATTTGTGAAATTGAACAAAGTTATCCTTAATTGATTGAAATCAAACTAAAGCATGATTATCCAATCAAAAAAATTTACAGAAGACGTCTCACATGCCCCAAACCCAAAAAATAAATATAATAAAATATATAAGAAGATTAAGCCCTTGTTTGATCCCCATTTTGGGAGAAAATGAATTTTTCAACAATGTTTTGATATAATTTCAACCACACATTTTTCAATAAAATAATATTACATTCAAATCCAAAAAATTTCCTTATTTTTTAATCACACATTTCACATCAATACACTATTTAAAAATTCATTTTTCCCATCAAAATGGAGCTCAAACAAGGGCTAAACTTTAAAGAGAATGCATACAGGTAGGCTAACGAAGGGCAAATATACATACAATAATGTAATAAATAATTAATTATTAACAAAGTTTATAAAAATATCAAAAGGAAGAAATTCACAAAAAAAAAGAAAAAAAAAATTGAAAGAAAAGGAACCATAAGCGTACTAGTTACTGGTAGTGGTAACCACATCTGAGCCGAGATGATCTGACGAACCGGCTAATGTGTCGTATCCGGCAAGAAGCTCGGTGAGTAAAGTCATGGCTTGGACTTGCATTTTAAGAGCCTCGATATAATCAGTTGTTTCTTCTAGAAGGTTCGGAAATGAAAGGCTCCGGCAGCCGGGAACTAAACGGCCCAAACTTCTTACCTTCCTCTGCAAAGACGGCGGCTTGTTCTTGGCAACTGGTTTCTTCAACCGATTATCGGAAGAAACTTTTGCTTTCTTGTGTTTCTTATTGATCTGGTTGAGTCGTACGCGGAGTCGTTTCGTAAGAATGGCTCTGCTCCAGCGAGTCCTGCGCTTGGCAGACACTGCCAGGACTCTATCGGCTGACTCGTGGATGGAACCGCTGGAAGAGGAGTCGCGGCGGCGGATGCGGCGGAGGGCTTTGACGAGTTTGATTGAGTAGTTTTTTGCTTCTGCTTCGGTTCTCCATCTGGATCGTTCTGTATCGGCGGTAAGAATTCCGGTTTCCGATTCATGGCCGATTTTTTTTCGCATTTTAGGCGATGAGTTGGAGTTTGTATCGGGATTACTAATAGATGATGATGCCATCATCAAATTGAGATTACTCTCTTTTATTCAATCGCTGTGGGGGGTGAGGGAGGACGGAGAAGGAGGAGGAGGGGGCGGCGGAGAAAAGGATTTATGGGAGGAGTGGAGTTGGATTGTCTATGGATGATTAAAATCGGACGTTGCAGTGAAAAAGTGGAGTAGAGCGGAGATGATCCCGCGTAGGACAACCCACGCGTCTATATATATCATTGCCATCATTGGATTAAGAATAATGTTATTTAATATAAATTCTAGCACGCCGTATGATAGAGACTCAATGAGATATAGAATTAAATGACCCATTTAATTAGACGAATAATGTTCTTTGCGATCACTCATTATCGTAGTCGCTCTATGTGACACGTATGTGAAGATTGGTGATTCGATGAGGAATGCTGTATGTACACTAGAGTTACATGTGAGGCGGCTCACAAATTTTTTAATCAATGTGGGCTCTCTCTTATGTGAGAGGGGTGCTCTAGCGTACAAGAGGCATCAATGGTGATTTGATAAATGAACCAAGAAAAAATTATCACATTAATATATCAAATTACAAATCGCTATGTATGATATTATATAAGACGACTATCACAGTGAGCGATTATAAATAGCAATACTCTAATTTTAGACATTTCATTTGACGTTACATTATAGTGTCATTTAACATTAGTGTTTCTCTTGAATTTATCATTTATTATTATTTAAATGCTATAGTCAATAGTGATATAACAAATATCATTGCTCTTAATTTTTTGGGTTGTTGTAAGAAATGTTTCTATCAATCTTCATAGGAAATAGCATTGACCTACATGACAACATTGTCCAATAAGCGACTTATTTTATTTTTTTTTAAAATTATGATAAGGTAAGATATTACACGCAATGATATCTCTATCTATTATCATGGTATAATAGAGATTAACCCTTTTCTACGTTACAACATTGGACAATAAACGAATTGAATGCCAAATTTTAGGATAAATTTTATTCTGGATTCCCAATCTTTTCGATTTTTGAAAATTGTCTTCAATCAAATTTTATCCAATATTCCATTCCCAACTTTTCATTTATAGTCAAATTCTGTTGTTGAGGTTCATGCTGCACACGTAGTTTATGCCGAAGAGCAATTTTGTCAAGCCACTTAAACCACCAATTTTTCGAAATGTCAAAGTTTGCTTTTTCACCAAACACAACTTGATCGTTCATTTTCTTGATTTCTAACCTTGCTGTTGTATTGTTGAATTTCTCTACTAAAAAATCGACATGCTTGCGAAATAGAGAAGATGCCATTGAGTAAATCTTCTGTATTCATATTCAGTAGACATTTCATTTGACGTTACATTATAGTGTCATTTAACATTAGTGTTTCTCTTGAATTTATCATTTATTATTATTTAAATGCGATAGTCAATAGTGATATAACAAATATCATTGCTCTTAATTTTTTGGGTTGTTGTAAGAAATGTTTCTATCAATCTTCATAGGAAATAGCACTGACCTACATGACAACATTGTCCAATAAGCGACTTATTTTATTTTTTTGAAAAATTATGATAAGGTAAGATATTACACGCAATGATATCTCTATCTATTATCATGGTATAATAGAGATTAGCCCTTTTCTACGTTACAACATTGCACAATAAACGAATTGAATGCCAAAATTTAGGATAAATTTTATTCTGGATTCCCAATCTTTTCGATTTTTGAAAATTGTCTTCAATCAAATTTTATCCAATATTCCATTCCCAACTTTTCATTTATCGTCAAATTCTGTTGTTGAGGTTCATGTTGCATGCGTAGTTTATGTCCGAGGGCAATTTTGTCAAGCCACTTAAAACACCAATTTTTCGAAATGTCAAAGTTTGCTTTTTCATCAAACACATCCTGATCATTCATTTTCTTGATTTCTAACCTTGCTCTTGTATTGTTGAAATTTCTCTACCGAAAAATCGACATATTTGCTTGCGAAAGAGAGAAGATGCCATTGAGGGACTCTTCTGTATTCATATTCAATTGCGTTATCTAAATTTTGGAAAAACAAAATGTCGTTTGAACTTCGTGAGGAGTCTCAAATTACCAATCGAAAAAACTTCATTAATATATAAATAATACTTATATTTACTTTAGAGGTAGCATGTCTTACTTGGTACAAGTTAAATCATGCCTAGGTTACATTAGATGTGTTAAACTTACCATAAGAGTATTTAAAATAAAAGGGGTCTAAAAAAAAGTAATTGCGTTATCTAAATTTTGGAAAAACAAAATGTCGTTTGAACTTCGTGAGGAGTCTCAAATTACCAATCGAAAAAACTTCATTAATATATAAATAATACTTATATTTACTTTAGAGGTAGCATGTCTTACTTGGTACAAGTTAAATCATGGCTAGGTTACATTAGATGTGTTAAACTTAGAATAAGAGTATTTAAAATAGAAGGGTTCTAAAAAAAAAAGGCATTTTTCATTGTAGCATGATGGGATTTCAAAAGGTGTTAATTCTTGATTATCAATTATTTTTAGCTCACAAGGTGCTCAAGTATGTGAAATGATGCCACTAAACTAATTGACAACTCAACAAGATGGAAAAGATAAGATCAATTATAAACAAAACATAATGATTTGGTCTTGGTGCTTTGCTCCCTGAAATGGGTTTCTTGATTTATTAATTTTAATTGTACAACATGCATACATTCTTATCCAAATCAACAATAATTTAATTAATTATAATTACTATAATGTGACAGCCAAACAATTCCTTTATTATTATTATTATTATTATTTTTTGTTATTAACAGTTCGTTTCTGGTAATTAGGTCAATGACTTGCTAACAACATCTTATTTGTATGTTATGACAGAACTGCTCAACTTTTGGCCTTTTCCTGTTGGAAATTATTGAGAAGAATGTTTTTCGGTTGAATCCAAGATTAAGAATAATCCATCAACCCAGAATATTTTTTTTTTTTTTTTTTTTTTTTTTTTTTTTTTGGNNACACTAGCATTAGATAATATAATAAGTTATAGAATTGTTCTTTTATTTACTGTGGGTAAAATAAAATGTGCCGTCAATAAGTTAAACCGTCATTGTTGACAATTCTCAACAATGACATTGAGTTGTCAACAATGACGTTTTGACTTGCTGACATGTCATTGTCACATTGATTGTGAGTACAATAAGCTCTTGTTCATCGTTGACAGGAGATCATCCTTTTAACAAATTATAAGGTAGAAAAGAAATTAATACCTACCTTGCTGTAAAGAAAAATAAATCATGATTAATCTTGATGCACTTGAGCTCTATCGTGCTTTTACAGCTTTAAAAAGTAGATATAACTGAAAGTGAAAGGACATTTCTAATTTTATAAGATGATGATGTCCAACCAAACTTGAACACCTGAAATACAGAAATAGAATATCGACCAATGGAGGACCACAAAATTATCATTTCTATTGTTTGTTCTTTCATAAGGAAAAAGCAAGCTATCCTCAACTTTTAATTGAGTAACATGATTGATAAATGGACCAGAAAATCATGTATTGAAAAACAACAATAAATTAGAATTCTGCTTAGTGTTTTGCTCATCTTGTTACAAACTAAATATACCTTAGTGGCGTTTTTGATGTTTTCTTTTTAATACGAAACACAAAATACGTTAGGGAGTGAATCAAAGTGCTTCCTTCTACGGATATTACATTAATTGTAGGTTGAACTTCCACTTGAGCATTGATCGGTTTAGGAGTAACCTTGCCGATTCAAATTCAGTTTCTCTATATGTTTCAAAAATGATATAAGTACTTTAAAATAACATATAGTAGTACCAATAAACATATCCTCATTTTATAACAATTTCTTACTCTGTTAATAGTAGACAATATATTATTACAAATAATCATGCCAAACAAGAATTCAAAATTCATATTATAAAAAGATAAACTTTTAACATATCTAAATGTCTTAGTATCATCACATGTTTTCTCTAAGTGTATTAAAGCGATTTTTATTTTCAACGATCGAAATTTTATTACTTTAACACTTTTAACTTGACACACACACACACACACACACACATATATAATTTTTGAGGCACTCAACAATTGGGGCTTAAGCGCTTATCCTGCCTATAGTCAAAGGTTGCACGGATTGAAAATATGATTTTTAGCAAAATCATGTGGTCTAGATTGAACAACACTGACATACTTCAATAAAGAAAAAAGAAAAAAATGTTAAAATCTTGTCCCGTGTTTGATGAAGTATTATGTATCAAACATACCTTATATGCTTCTATAATGGTTTTGCATGTCCAAGTTGAAGCATGATTTTAACAAATGTAAACTTGATAACTTGTTTTAACCTTTGTTAGAAAGCTAAAAAAGTTGGATAAAACAGTTAATATCAAAGTCAACAATTAATTTTAATCACGCATTTCCTCAAGTTTTATCAAAGTCTATTAATAAAATTTTATAAAAAGTGTTGTCAAACAACACGCACCTCAAGGTTTCAAATATTTACAAATTCAAAGCAAAAATATGCAGATTCAATGGTGTTTAAAAGAGTTCTTATCAATTTTGTGATCGGGAATTAAAACACAATAACACGAGTTTGTTTAACAATAGGATATCTCATTAAATGTTCATCTCGAATTACACTGTGCGAAGCATGCACGATTCTAGTGTATTATCTATTAACTATACCAATGGATACATATATACATAAATGTGTTTGTATGTGCGTGCCTGTACAAGTACAAAGCTAAAACAATGTGACATCCTCAATATCACAAAAATCTAATCCATCATTTTGTATATACTACTGTAATATGAATCAGAAGCTTTTTGGCGAAAATTTATGCACTTACAATCAACGAGCGGCCATAGCAGTTAAGCTGTCTGTGGAAGTTTTAGGTTTCACGACATATGGAAGCATTATCTCAACAGGGGCAGCATCTGGAATGACCTCTTGAAAAGGTACTTCGAAGGTCAAAGATTGGTATAAACAAACTTCATCTTCCTTGCAGTAGTATACCTGTAAACCATGCAAAATATTTCATAGCATCCTTATTTACCATCTCATCTAAAACCTTAAACTGTTATAAAGAAGGGGACAACACGTATTCATTGAAATCTTGATCAAAGATTCATCCTTTATGTGCAGACAAGATTCATTTTTTGATAAAAGATTTGACACGTGCACAATTTTCACAAATGGGTATAGGAATATTTAAACCGCGTCTTTTACCTGGCTGTGATATCGTGTTTACTATCCAATAAAAAGCTTACAATGTTAGGAAAGGACCACGTTTATTCATATAAATCTATGTCTTTCTAATGTCTATGTTTGCTCATTTTTCTCCCTCCATGACCCTCTCTTCTCCTTTCAATCCCACAGATATGCATATACAAGTAGAAACACAGAGAACAAGCAGTGTAGATTTATCAAAACTTACATTCAAAATTCGAATGGGTATGCCGAGGCCAAATTGAGTGGAAACCTGATCCATTTCTTTAACAAGGAACTAAGGCTCACTTCCTATTGATTTGGGATCGGCTACATGATTCATCATTTTCACTACGTTCAGTTTATTCTTATCTAATGCAAGAGCATACTTGAAACGGGGTGGGCCTATGGTCTCAATTTGGGAATGGCCCAATGGCGCCTTCGTAAGGTGTACTTGAAGGCTTGAGGTGGATTCCTGGCCTGATTTTGGGTAATATAGGATGGATTGCACCTCCCACATTAGTTATAGCTTTTGGGCAAAGTAATTGCATTTTCCTACATCAACAGAAACTCTCATTTAGAAGTGACGCGATGTAGGTAAATCTAGTAGCAAAAGGGAGGCTACATCAAGTCTAACATGATTTGAAAGTGGTAATAATTAAGCAGGTAATTTTAGATAAGAGCAACCTCAAAAATTTATTTACTGAAGGGATTATTGCTGATTATAGTCTAAACCTCTTTGACATCAAGATTTAATTGCAGTGGTTCTTTGGAAAGATCACTCTGCACATCATTTGTTTGTTCACAAAGCCTCATGCTTATCCCAAGCAATATCAATGACCAGAAAGATACTTCACCTTGCAATAAATTCTACTCATGGAAGATGATGGGGAGGATCTTTTGAATTGTACAACTGCAGATCCTTCAGTGCTGATGTTCCCATCCACCGGATTAAGAACAGCTGAATTTTCCGGTTCAACTTCTACACTGAATTTACTGCGTGCTTCCTGCATATGATACTAGACACTGTTACTAACCTATGAAGAAAAAACAGTGCACAAGATTCATCCCACGATAATGCAAGAAATTCAGAGAGGAAAACCCCAGGACCAAACCCAAAAATGCAGATAGAGAAAGACAGAACCTTCGAGAAGTGGTAACCCTCTGGCACTGATATCTTAAGACATAATTTGCCCTCATTGGATGAAACGCCATTAACTTTGACAGTCTCTGTGTCAGCTGTAGATCTCCTTCTAAGGCGCCTCAAAGATTTGGATTTTGATGCCGGAGCCTGGACTCCTTTCAACTCCAAAGTAAGAAGTACGGGTTCTTCCTTCCTCAGGTCTAAGTACCTGATTACGCTGTTGTTCGTATCGGCTATAAATAATCTACCTAAATTATGTCAAGAGACAATATAAGTATGAAGTTCTCTTAGTTCTTCATATAGCATTTACTATCTCAAATGTTAGAGAGGGGTCACATATATTCATTAAATAGTGTCTTACAACACAGCCCCGCATGTGCACACCAGGTTAATTTTTCCCATCAAAGATATGAAATGTACACAATTTTTAATAAATAAGTAGCAATGAGACTTGAATCTGAATATTTTGCCCATCTCTAAAACCATGTTAGCTATCTCATTTAAAAGCTTAACTTGTTATAAAAGGGCCACATGTATTCGTTTCAATTGTGTCCTCAACATATAAATTAAAAAGGAAGGGGTGAAAAAGCTTGGATATACAATTGGAACATTGATAGCTTAAAAGTCCACTGGTAATGAATTTTATGCAATTTATAGAAGTGCGTATATGAAATACCATATTATGTGGGATTATGCATCTATGACTTAGGCCCCATTTGTTTCCCATTTTTAGAAGAATGAGAATGAAAAATATAGTCGTTACGGGCCCTCACACAAGAGATAAAAATTCAAATTTGGTGACTTGATGTGATGAATAATGGTCATATTTTTCATTTTAATTAGAAAAGAATGGAAAACAAACGGGGGCTTAATCTATAGGGGATAACTGAAATTTACCAGATAGAATTTGAATGATATAGAAAGAAAAGTATACCATTTTGGGCTTCAACAATTCCAGAAGGCTCTGAAAGCTACAAAAGCAATAGTGTCACAATTGGTATTCCAAGGTAGTAGGTCAAAACAAGCCACAGCAATATACTTTAATGGGTGAATGTTATATATAAATACATCCATCTCATACTATATCAATCATCAAACAACGGCTTTGTATGAATGAAAATATGAGCACGTTTTCAAGATCGTCATGATTTGAAACTAATGAGTAGTCTTGATTCTTGAACAGTAAATAGTTCAAATACACTATGCTTCTGATTATTGACATAAGCGTGCATGTCAATATTCTTTGTGGAATCATATTGATAAGAGAAAAGCTTTCTAATTTGAATTGTAAAGAAAAAATCTAATGGTTTATATCTGGGTGATCAATTATGCATTTTGAAAAATACCTAGGTGATCTATCATGGATATTGATATTACCGCCTTTTCTGCATGTATTAAAACCATCGAGCGTCGGGTATTTGGGGTTACCAAGTAGCCAATATTGGCTTAAGAATGCAAGATAGGAGGACCAATATTGTGTAACATCACTGCGTACAGATATATCTAAAATAGTTTACTTGAACATGCTAGTTGGAGTAGTACCAGTTTGTTGAGAAGGAATGGAGAAGGAAGAAGCAGTAAGATTAAAAGAGATTGCCTACTGTAAGACAACTTTGAAACATTTTAATCATCTGAACATAGATTGAATCCAATCAGAACATTCACAGACCAAGTCGCTAGGCTGAATTTTATAGAATGTTTGGTTGTATATGGTTAGGGTGGTAGGGAAATACAATCATTTGGCACGAATGACCATAAAACAACATGCTATACCATAAGGACAGGTTTGGTTCTCAGTGATGGACAACACTGCACACAACCATGAAGAAGAAGCACCTTTATTTCATTTTTTTTAATCTTATCCAATCCTATCCAATTTTGCATACCAAACATGCATAAATATCCTATAACCAAGCAACCTTCTAGTCACAGCACCCCCAAAATGTACTGTTAACTATTGCCTCTCAAAACTGTTTACAGATATTTTTGTCCGCATAGCTTATTTTAAAATTTAAAATGACAACAGGCAACATTTTAATGCATGTTACAATACGTAATATTCTTTTCGTTGTTGAATGTTTTACATTAACTCTGCACAATTATTAGCTAGGAACTGATATCTTATTTACACATAAATCTACAATAATTACTATCTATCCTGTATTGAATTTCACATCTGTGCACAATTGGCCAACTACAAATCGAGAACAAGTGTATTTACTTATGTTTCCCGTTTCATATGTGACATGAGACTTTAGCATGGGACCATGTGTCTAATTTTGAATAGGTGAAAAACAAAATCAAGATTAAGGATTTCACGAGTGGAGAGTCTTGTTTAGATAGTAAATAGTAATTTGAAGGAAAAAAATGCAAGGAAATGAAGACATTCAATTTGGGAAGGGTTAATAAAGTAAAGCATAAGGATCGCTTCCAGAAAGTTTGTTTGACCCAATCAGCAGATATCCGGCGATAAGGTTATCTCAACCATTTCAGGAACCATAATCAAAAGAAGGTTTTTACTATACGACCTCACTCTCCCTTCATAGTTTAATAAACCTAATAGATATTGAGGGGACGTTTGTTTTCCATTTTTGTAAAAAAGAGAATGAAAAATATAGTTGTTATGAACTCCACACAAGAGATAGAAATTCAAATTTAGTAGCTTGATGTGATGAATAATGGTCATATTTTTTATTTTAATGAGAAAAGAACGGGAAACAAACAGGGGCTGAAATTCAGACATGTATTAAGGCTTCTTCAACTACTCGGGATCAATCTAAATTTTTACACAATCCAAATAAGCAATTTCAGTTTTGTTATTCAAAATAGAACTTCAAAAACGATAATTTATTTTTCTAAATAAAACTGAAGCATGTATCACATCTTTTCCCTAAATTATTGAATTTGTTGCATCAGAATATTCTGTGTGTATACTTCATCTGTATCCACCATTTATGTAACATCTTAGGATTACACAGAGTTGTACTCTAACCTTCAGCAGCATTTTATGGAAGGATTCTGCCATTGAGAAATTTGGAACCATGATAAGTGTCTACGTACTCAAAACCCAGACAATCATAGACGACAGGACTCCAAGATAGCACAAAAAAATTGACGACAAAGAACTAAAAATTATGCAAACGTAGGTAAAAAGTTGGAAAAGCATTTTCCAACCTGTGCTGATAGGGCTCTTCCATCCTTGAACCCAGCTTTTCCAGTTCCTGCTAAGGTACTCACTCTGTTACTAGCTGGATCCAACTTCTTAATCTGGTATTCCAAGTAAGCATCAGCAAGTAAACTCACTTGGAAGTAAATTATTTTAGTTGGCTTGTGTACTGTTCCGAATTAGAATTAAATTATAAGAGGTTACATTTCCATTGATGCCTTAAAACTATGATAGCTCTGTAGCAATATGGTACTTTTGGACCCACATGTGTAGAAGCTATCATATTTTCATTTCACCATATAACCACAATACCTTGTGATTGTAAGAATCTGCTAGATAAATTTGACCATCCTTTCCACAAAAGACACCTAATGGATGTTGAAGAAGAACTTCAGAGCCTACTCCATCATGGTCTCCAAACTGTAAACAAGCACAATTATGTAAGAGACGATGTTTTATTTCCACTGGGTTAAATGATGAATCTAATTTTTATTTAGGAGCATAAATACCCTAAACAAGTTGTCTGAGAAAACCGGATCACCCCCAGCAAGTAATCTCGATCCCCCTGTTCTTAGATCAAGTGCTCGAATGGAACTACTCTCACTATCAGCAATATATGCTTCCTTTGAATCTATTGAAACTCAAATGGCCAGGAATTAACATATGAACTGGAAGTAATTCAAAGTACATTGCAGCTAGTGACTGGCCTGGTAACTTCAAATTTTTCAATATGTTACTACTTACCAGGAGATAATGAAATTCCAGAAGGTTGTGCAAATGAAGTGCTTCCGGAACTGTATTAAAAGAGGTTAGAGAAGCCCAAAATGAAAAGAAGCATGAGAATTGGGAATGAAAAAAGGTTACAGGATGGTCTCAGAAAGTCCTTTCATCCCCACCACATATACACTAGTATAGTGTGCACACGACATTTTCACCAATCAAATATAAAGAAGAGTAAAGACTAAGAACTACACTTCCCAATACTCAATTATCCCTTTCAGCTTCTATAGTCGGCCACATAGTACCAGTGATTTTGGAGTTAGCAATCTATTGTAGTATGGATAAGTTCATGTAATATCAAGGTTATAAAATATATGGTTCACCTGATAACATGTATAGCTACACATGTAAAATCAAGGTTATAAAATATATGGTTCACCTGATAACATGTATAGCTACACATATCTACTCATGTATAGTTACACATCTCTCTCATTTTGGACCGTGTCTAATTTTTACATGCAGCAAGTCTATTAATCGGTAACCTATCCTGTAATACAAACTTTAGCCAATTAATGAAAAAGCCAGTCATCAGTTTAGTTTAATATATAAATATCTCAAGATGTGCTATCTTTATCACGAGCTTGTCAATAGATAAAAAACAATGGTGAATTATCAAAGTGCATCTCTTTCAGGATTTTCCTGCTTATTGTTGTTTGGTGGGTATAAAATGCAGTAGGTCTACATATTCATTTCTTATGAACAAGTACAAGATTAAGGCCATTAGCATGGTAAATACACTTGGGAAATGTTTGTTATGAGCATTGGCCTCTAAAATGGAGATGCACTCTTAGCTTGGAACCAGAATGACTCGTATATTTCAGGTTTCTAAACTAACTTCATTATGGGAAGTGCCTACATGCACCTCTGCATTAGTAATATTGCGTCAGACCTTGCCCTTGACCAAGGGTTTTAGACAAAATATTACTAATAGTGTCTTTCTAGACAGTAATGAGTAAATTCCTAGATGCATGCCAGTTGCTGAAATCATCCTACTTTAAACATTAAGAACAGAGGGTATAGGGTTCAAATACACTAATTGCAAAGAAGTGTAACCCACCAAAGGAAACAAGCTTTAAGTATTTAAAGTTAGTTTATGAAGCTAAAACTGCTCAAGCACACGTGAAGGATAAATCTAATTCAAAACAAACAAAACTGAAACTGGAGCATACTTGGTTATGATTCACTTGCAAGAAAGTCACAGACAAGTGCATAAATGGGAAGTTCTGTTACCTTGAACCGTTCAAATTTCTTTCATAACCATCACCACTAAAAGCTCTTGTAATACCATCTAAAGTATTATGTTCCCAGATCTGATGCTGGCCAGCCATGGCCAGGTAAATAACTTCATTCACAGGATCAAAGCAAAGATCCCAGGGCGAATTGAGGAGCTGAAATATCACAAGGAAGTGTAAAGATATTTACGTATTTTTTCCACAGCCTAATCAATTTGCTTAGATGGAAAGATTCTGCTTATTCTAATTTCTAACTACATAATAAGCATGCTATCCTCCATTGAGAAGTTTCCCATATATTTAGAACATTTGATGCCATGGGTCTATTCTTAAACTTTTTACGCTCTAAATCTTGCCTGAGTGGATCCTGATCTGCCACCTTTGTAGTCAGAACCTTTGGTTCCATTTCCAGAGAGTGTTTGCACCATCTCGTTAACAAAATCAATCATCCTACAGTCATAGAAATTTAATACATTAACAAGATACGACTATATTATTGTCCCATAATAAAGCTAATTCTATCTATTCTTTTGACTACTTTGACCTTCTCAAGATTACTCAAGTTGGAAACTAATGCAATGAAGGACGGAAAACACTATCACGATGGTTCTCTTAATGTTATAAAGGAAGGAAGAAAATATTTTGATATATATATATATATATATATGCAGTTAGTTAACATCTTAAACTTTTAGATCACGAGGTCAACGTAGTATAAAAGCAAATTAGCTAACTAAAGTCCCGAGTTCAAGTCTCTCCAACGCTCATTTATGAAAATTCAACTTGTTAGGCCTTTGATTAACAAATAATCCAGCTTACACATAAGAGGGTGTATTGAAGTGTAGATTCGTTTCTCTGACAACTTAAGTGTTTACATGAGGTGGTTCAACAATATTAAATGGGCAGAAAACAAATAAATAATAACATTAACAGATCACTCAAAAAATGCCTTGCACTGAACTACTAAAATGTTGGTAATCACTATAAAGCGTGTTCTTTAATAAGGTGAAATTTCTAGTACAAAATAGAAGTATTTGAAACGAGTAATAGAAAATCAATTACGCATACATTTTTCTTTTAATCAAGTATCCAATCCATTTTTTTCAATCCAATCTAGATAATTGTTACCTCAAAGCATGGTTTTCAGTGTCTGCTACATACAGGAGATTTTTTTTCGCATTGTAAGCGAGACCCTACAAAAACATAAATACGCTAATTTATTTTGTTTTATAAGTAGCAGACCATGAATAATTGAATGCACCAAGGGGGAAAAAAATATAATAGGCACACTCTTCCGAGAAAATGGTCATAAGCCATGAAAAAGTATTAAGAAGAAAAATATTACCTGTGGCCGATTGAACATGGCATCATCAAAACTACCATCACGAAAACCCTCTTCTCCAGTGCTCCCAATTTGCATTATGAAGTTCCCATCAAGGTCAGTGACAACCTGGGCTCCATAAATAACAAAATTAGTTATCCATATCTGCTTAACCTTAAAAAACCAAGACAACATACTTTTACTAACACTAAACGGGTAAAACATGTGCAAATGTACCATACTAATCAAGACACAACACTTGTTTAAAGATAGCTTTGGAAATTGAAAGGATTCTGTGAAATATCAACTTAGTAATATAATAATTAGAAATTTGATGGAATTTTCCACTAAAAATTTAGAAGTTGGAAAGACTTTACAGAAAGACGGTCTGAAAATTTTCTTAGATAGCTACTGGAAGAGGATTGAGATAATCCAATATTTGGATGGAAATTGGCATAACTCCTTAATCAGGCTGAGTCCTAAATATATTTATATCCCAAAATAAATGCAGCAAAACATATCTCAACAACGTGTTGCGGGGGAAGGGGGGGGGGGTGAATAGGGAGAGGGGACCTACTATTCGGTTATGGTTGCTATCTGAAATGAACAGCCGGTTGTTGAGGATGTCGACCTCCAGCTTACCAGGAAATTTCAAAGGGGATGTCAGCAAGCGAAGATCATTCTCTTTTTCCAACCGCAAGGGAATAGGTCTGCTATCCAATAAGGGGGGGGGGGGGGGGTGAATAGGGAGAGGGGACCTACTATTCGGTTATGGTTGCTATCTGAAATGAACAGCCGGTTGTTGAGGATGTCGACCTCCAGCTTACCAGGAAATTTCAAAGGGGATGTCAGCAAGCGAAGATCATTCTCTTTTTCCAACCGCAAGGGAATAGGTCTGCTATCCAATAATTTCTTTCTACCATAGAAGAGAAGAGCTGCTTCGATCAAATTGTCAAGATCCTTGGAAAAAATCACACAAATTATTCGAAACAATTTTTCAGTTCTTGACCACATGATAAGAATTTTAGTAATTTCAAGCTCTGTAAGTAAGATGCAATAGGCCATTGACAATGGGAAGAAAGAAGGAAATTTTTCTTCCAAAAAGCACAAAAATGAGACAATGAGAATGTTAGTCTAAATTTAATGCTAACAAGAAAACATACTTTCATCAGAGAAGTCCTCTTAGACATCTTATAGTTTCACATTTGAATATGTATAAATTGGCTGCGAGGTAGGTATACACAAATTTTTATTTGTCAAGGGTTTGACAAAGCCCCACTCAGGCCAGGGGTTGGAAATGAGTTGGAATGGTCTGGTCAAGCCCGAAAACCACAGATATTTTTCTGTTAACAGACTGTTCTGATTCTCTAGCTGATGCGGTCCATTTCATGTGCTGAAGAAACGTGAAACCAGACCCTTTCATTGAACTGTGATTAGGTGGGGCAGTTTTAGCCGAACCAGCAAATGAAACTTCCTTTGATTTTTTGGAAATTAACCCAAAAATTCTGAGGAAAAAAAGAGTCAGCCTAAAACAACATGATTCAGTCTTTCTCAAAACCTCTTTGGAAACCCTTAGGGCTAAATGGTTGATACAAAACTAAAATAGTTTAAAAGTTGTATACATCAATTGAAGGGGTAATGAAAAAGCATTATAATGGACTACGTACACACATGCACAACATGTAATACGCACATGTGGGCAGAAACAATTGTCCTTTACGTTACATTGTACCCCCTCCTCAAGACAACCACCATCACCAATTATCCTTACTGATGTCGACAGTGTCAGTCATCTGCTTTTACACGGCCTGCTCTGATACTATGTGAATTCAAAGAAATTCTTTATTCTCTTTTTTTGAATAATTACATTCTAACTACATCCTTTTATAGCATACACATAAAGGTTAAATAAGGAAAAACAATATTCCTAAATCAATCCAAATTTCTCCTAAAATTTTCCTAATTACAAGAATTATAATTTTCCTAAATTGAAAATGCTAATAAGAAAAGTTGGAATATTACACATAATCGGGATTTCAACAGTTGATTATGTGATTATCACACAATCTTTCCTTTTAAAGTTATTTATAGCCTATAAATAGGATCTTTTACTTTGTAATAGAAATACAAGCTCATTATATACAATTTATAATAATGTAATATGGTATCAAAGCGGGTGTAACTTTATTTTGGGTTAAATTTGTAAGTTTTTGTTCTCCGGCTAGTGGCCTCATGCTGCTCGTCCGATCAAGTTTTCTTGTTTTGATTAAATACCCGAGTCTAGTAAAAAAACTTCTTTATTCTGTCCAGCCAAGTCTTTTTTGTTTTTGATTTAATATGAATTCTGAATTTAAATTAATTCAAATCCTGTTAAATGTTGGCTATTCTTGTTGCTTCCTTCTTGGAGAGTGGATTTTTGAGAAAATCGAGAATTATCATGCTACTTTATCGAATTTATTCCCCTCACATTTGTTGTTATAGCCTCCTCGTGTGCTAGGGTTCCTGTTTCATCAGTATTTCCTTTATCTACAAGTGTAGTATGGGTACTATCCATGAATTTTTGGAGTGCTATTATTAAACACGATCATCTTTGCTTATCTGATTATTAAAGCCATTTGAGGATCTTGTTTTGACCTTGTTCATTATACTTGTGGGCTTCTCCTTCAACTCTTGGTGATGGCTTGATAGACATACAAGCAATTTTGAAGTATCATTCGATTCTTGGAAGAGGAAGATCATTGGATCAATTTAATTTTCAAACTCAATTTGATTGTCACTATGCCATATTGAGTTTGAGGGAGGGTGTTGAAGATATGAAAAGATTATACGGAATAATCTCTATGATTATTTTCCCAATTGTATGAGATTATTTTCCTTAATAGTCGATTGTCTGATTTTCAAACAAATTTTCCTTTTAAAGTTATTTATAGCCCTATAAATAGGGTCTGTTACTTCATAAGAAATACAAGTTTATTATATACAATTTATAATATTCTAACAACCAACAATCCCAATTCATATTTTATCACATACAAAGCATCACCACAACCATAATTTATCTGTCTGAATATGGAAGAGATAGAAAAGAGGAAAAGAACGAAAAGGAGAAAAAGAGAAGGAAAAGGTGAAAAGAAATAGAAGCCAAACAGAGGTGTGGGTGAAAATTCTCCAAAAGGGAACCAAAAGAAAGGGGGGAACGGAAAAAAAGAAAATAAAAAGTAGGACAAGAATAGGGTGGCAGTTCAGGCCGCTAAGTTCAGTTGAAGCCCAAGTCCTGATTGGCTCTGACTGAGCCAGGACAGTTTGGTCCAGGGAATTGTACAGGCCTGATCCAGTAAATCCAACAACCCAGTTTGGACCATAACTGTTTATCAGTTAGTGATTGGTCTGGCCTCCTTGCTTGAGACCAGTTTTTTGTTCCCTACGACTGATCCAGGCAGTTGAGACTGAAAATGTCCTGTTTGCCACCCCTAACTTACATATCTGGCAAATTCTAATTAATTCATGTATATTCACTGGAATTTAGTTCAACTTGTACTAACTAAAAGATAAGTAGACCTATACACGCAATGCGAAAAAAGAAATAAGCTTGAAGACTTGGTAAATTCAATAGAACCAGAAAGCATCATGAAGTTTTAAGTATATAATCTGAGGTGAGGTTGACATCATATGAGGAGAACAATTAGTGATCTAGAAAATAAATCAAACAAAAAAGAGAGAAGAAATTCCACAGAACCTAACATATGATTAGTTTAACAAGGTAAGGGTTACAAGTTCAAAAAGTTGAAAAAGAAAGAAAAAGGAAAATCAATACAACTAGAGTACGAAAAAGGAAATCTATATAGAATTGAGTACCTTTCGGCGACCTTCACCAGATATTTGTGCAATCAGCTTTCCATTTGGCCCAACAACGGCAAATGTAGGCCATGAATTTATACCCAACTCTCGCCATAAATACATATCACCATCATTGACAACCTAGGAATAAGAAAGTTAGAAGCAGAATGACTAACAATAATTCTTCAAGAATTTATCCTTTTATTTTTAATGCAATTTTTTTGGTATGTGCATCTAGATGTATGTGTGTGTTTGTCAATACCCCTGCTGGTCATTCATATGATCAGCTTATCAGCAAAGACATCCATCTTAAAATGCTATCAGTTAAAATCTCCTAGATTGCCAACTTTATATTTTGAGGGGTGGGATCAGAGCCATCATTAGAAGTATGGTCCTTTTGACCTACCACGATGACTTCGAGCTCTTGTACAAATAGGATATGGACTACCCGGCATTATGGGTTGTTAGTTTGATTCTCACTTGCTCTTTTTGTATAGGATTTAGTACTTCCCCTCTTATTCCTTTCATTCATATGTTGCGTCTTTTTGCTCTAGGTAGGTCAGGTTTATACCCCCCTTCGTCTTGTTCTCGTGAGTTTGATCACGACTTTATAATATGTTTGGGGAATTCAAACCCCCATCAACCTTCCCTAGAGAAGCCTAAAAACCCACTCGTGTTGGTGTTTTGCTTAAAAAATAAAAATATTTTGTTAGAAGATTTTTCAAATAAATCTAATGATCAAGTCCAAAAGTATATTACAATTTCCATACAATACGTGTGAATAAAAGCGAGCAGAATGTAACATAGGTCCCAATATAGTTTTGGAGGTCAAATATTTGGGATGGATGGTGACTCAGGATTGAAAAGGAGGAAAACAACTATGGTAAAAATAAAAAATAAAAAATAAAATAAAATAAATTGTGTTAGAGAAGGCTGAACACATTGGTGTACATAAGTATATCAGTCACCGTACATGTTTCATGCAGCTAAACTAAAACATGCAATATAAAATAAACACCGACTGGGAAAAAATTGTATTAGAGAAGGCTGAACACATTGGTGTACATAATTATTTCAGTCACCATACAAGTTGTTTCATGCAGCTAAACTAAAACACGCAATATAAAATAATGATAATTATATGCAATATAAAATAATGATAATTATATAAACCATGATTCTCCAATTAATAATACTGAAGCTAAATCATATAAATCTATATCATTTGTTCATTCCATTTTAAATCAAGAGACCATTGCACCTCTAACTTGCAAGTCCATCATTAAAAAAATAATAAAAAAATATTTAAGAATTTTCTGAAGACACTTAGTGCATGCATAGGAATCAAGGTTACTTTAAATATCATGCAAAAAGAAGCAATTGTAAACTATTGAGCCATAGTCATTCAAGTACTGAAATTTCTTTCCGTGTTAAAATTAAAGCTTTAATAAATTAGATAAATTAGATATTCTACAAACTCTCGTCCACCGTTTTTATTTGTTCATAATTTAATTTGTTTTAGGGGCTTTTTTAATTTACTAGCTGAATATTATTTGGAAATTTAGCTGTCTTTTGAAGTAGGGAGCTAAATGGGAATATATTAGCTTTCATTTTCAATGTTGGAGGTTCTTGAAGAACTAACTATATTGCAATTTTTTATTTTTTTATTTTATTTTTTTTGGATACTTGCTATTGATCTATGATATATTGGAATGTTTGTGATGCATAGTGGCAGGAACTCATTCTTGAGTTATTCAGTCAACAGGTATGCATCTCAGGAAAGCGGTCATTACTTCCTCTAGGCACCCAACCTTTGATGTGTCAAACGCTGATTCACATACCCATCCAATAGTATCAAAATTGACAGTCACATTCTCAAGATTAATAAAGTTTTGGCATGAACTGACACCAACATATATGACTGATGGACTTCCTTTGCATATTCCTTTACCATTCTTTCCCTCTCTGTCACCAACTGCACCAACTTGGGCAAAGCTGATCTTATATCAGCATATTATATGTTAAAGAAAAGGTTCTGCAATTTACTTACCGGATGAGAGATGCCATATCGTAGTACTGCATTGCGAATGGCTTCCAAGTCTTTCTCATTGTCAAACTTTGCAGAATGCACCCCTATAACAACAAACTGGGCAAAATAGCCACATATTAATTCATTGCAATGTCAGGTAAATTTTACATATATGGGCACCCAAATAAATGACTATCATATGGTAGAGTTCCATGTTATCACAAAGCAATGTGTATGACGAGAACCGATAAGTACATTTTACACACTTATTTAGGCTACTATTCCCGCTCTAGTGGAGATTGCTTGCTTTCTCGATGGGAATTGGTAATACCGCCCTTTGAAAGGGGTTTCCATGAATATTAATGATTTAAAAGCTCTTCCCGAAAGAGCCACAAAACATGGATAATTGTTGACAAATATATTGGAATATGGCTTAATTCTATATAAATTATGTTTCACAGGACAACATTAATGAATATGGTGGAATTTAGTAATAAAAATAATAATAAATAAAACTAAAATGGAAGAAAATCAAAGCTCAGGGACCAAAGTGCAAATAGCCGAAAGATGACCTTGGAGAAGAAACAAAGATGTGGAAGAGTCGAAAATCAATTGAGCGAAGGAATGAAGTATAGGAAGAAATGAGAAAACGGAGTTTGGGGACTAAATTTTCTTCTATCATAGTCGAAAACCAATTGAGCGAAGCAATGAAGTATAGGAAGAAGCGAGAAAAGGGATCAAAAAATGAGAAAACGGAGTCTGGGGACTAAAAAGCAAAATTTGAATTTTCTTCTATCATATGCGATTGCATTGTATAGTTATCCATGCAGTCGCATGGTTAGCTTCCGGGAATTCCAGGTTTAAATTAATTGAACTATGTTATAGCATGAGATTGTACTATGATATAACATAGTACATTTTCAGAGGAAAAATTATGGTTTCCTTGTTGACCCTAACTTTTATGGAAATGATATTTGGGAAATCTTTTAAAGACCTAGGGCCTTTCCAAAAGTAGTTATCACGCATTACAACACACTGAAGAGCATAGAAGATGGCAAGGAACAAGATGAGAGATTCTACAACATCAAGATCCAATCAAGATTCATAATTTGGGTGGTGTCTACTCAATATTTTTTTTTTGGACATTGAATGATTTATATGATTATCTTTCCTCCACATTTATTGTGCACAGTAGTTGTGTAAAGATGGTGGCTTATTTTATGCATTTGAAAGAAGTGAAATAGGCTCGACATCTTATAAATCATCATAAGGTCCGATAGAGGATACAATATACCGCTATGCTTTATGTGAATTTTTAAATGTTCATAAAAATTTATGCAATTATGTATGTTCGCATCCGTCATAGAAATATAGTTGGGTCATATGTAAGAGTAAGTTTGACATTACTCGAGAGAGATTATTGAATAAAAAAGGAACATTGATTCGTCAAAATTCAATCGTATTGTCAAAGTGTAAAACTAAGGTTATAAAGGATTATTGAATGGGAATTCGCGATCCTAGTGCGTTTTTCATTTATTAGAACACATCAATTTGCATTAGGCATAGTTTACATTTAGATTAGTTAATTTAAGCATATTGCATAAATAGATTATTTTAAGTATAATTTCGTCACAAACAAACACATCACATTATTATTATTTTGGTTTAAGATCGCGATAATTAAAATCGAACTAAATCAATTTCTGTGGGATGATATTTGGACTGAAATCCACTTAATTACTTGTTAACGAACCATACACTTGCGAAAGTTTCAAATCGAAAGACCATGAACAAGAACTCCAATATTTACACTATTTTGTGTGAGCTTATATAATACTGCTCCTCATGATATGACTGTGGTTCTCATTTGTTTTCATTTGATTTTTCAAACACAAATAATGAGAGATTTGTCCAAAGAGCCAATAACTTTGAAACTGAGTTTTCATTTATCTGTTGGGGGCAACATAGTAGCATTAAAAAACAAAAAAGTAAAGAATGGTGGTGGTTGGATTGGTGATGCAGAATTAGGCAAATAGCCATGGATTACATGTTGAGGTTTGGATAAATGTTGAGGTTTGGATAAAGATCAAGAGAATTAAGATTACCACAACCCAGTTCAACTTCTCCATACCTTGTGTTACATTGAAACACTAGCAAATATTCAAAAACAGAAACTATAGAATAAACCTTGATTATCTAGTTGGCAATGCTTAATGTTTTCTCATGACGATAAGGAAGAGTGTTGGAACCATTAATATTAAAATTAGATTAGACCAGTCGATTCAACCAGATAATTGGGAATTAGACCGAAATCAAGTCAAATCATAGAGTATTAACTGCTTATTAGAAAAAAGAATAAAATAACTAGTAAGCCTGACGATTAAACCTTAAACCGCTGAACTGGCCACTATTTTTCAGTTCTTAATTAAAAAGGGACAAAAGCTCAAATATTTTTTTTTTACTAAGTCCACGCGCACAGCTAATTTCACTGCCCATCTTCTTGACCTTTCAAACCATTTACCACAGCCATTTTATAAGGTTTTTTTTTTTCTCTCTCTCTCTCTCATCCTAACAATCAATATTTGCGCTATCGGTCAAGCAAGCTATTGGTCATGCATGAGTATTTAGCCTTTCAAGATGGTTCTTGCTGATTCACGCGGGACTCCACGTCCCATGCTACTTGGGTCAAAGTGTAAGTAAGTTGATGATGCTTTCGACTACTAGACTTTTGCCGGGCTCTACATTCGCTGTGCTTGTATTACTCTCCCCAATGTTCGAATTAATCACCCAGCAAGAAAGAACAAGCAGGTAATTAAAACCATTTTTTCAATATCTAGCAAATCCTTATATAAGAAACCCATGTGGACATGTTCCCCATCTACAGAAAGCAATACTAACATATCCCAAAGAGTAAAAAAATTTGACAACTATTTCTTCAGGTGTTTATAGGTTGAAATATTGTGAAAAAATGTTCACATGAAAAGATAAGGTCACAGCATTAATCAATTTGATAATGCATACACAGAAAATCTCACTTAAAGAATTCAAAAATTACATAATAGCAGCTTGATGATGTTTAGCATCAAAAGTTCCAAATAAGGAAATAGGAGCTTACTGGCATATCTTTATATTTTTTCTCCAAAAACTCTAGGTCTGGCAATACGTGCATACAATTTATGCAGCAGTAGGTCCAGAAGTCGAGAAGAACCACCTTTCCTTTCAAATCCTGTCCAATCAAAAGGTTATAACCATTAAGGAGTGTTAGCTAGCTGAAGCTTCTCTCCAATATATAATAACCACAAACAAACAATAAGCACACAAAGTAAACAGAAATGAGGATTTAATTTAGCGTTGAACACTCAATGGTCCCTTGGGTGTAATCCATCTTACCATATATGAAGCATGGGCTACGCAACTAAACCATTAAAGGGGAATACCTTAGAAACCTGAGCCATTTTTCCAATTTATTTGCTGGTATAACAAATTTGAAAGCTCAACATAATTCAAATAATAGTACATAATCATTAGTTCGCCTTGCATGCATAAGCTAATGAAAACCAAAAAGGACATACAAGATAACAGAAGTCAGTAAAATAGGAACATGGACCCATGTTAACAAACATTGTTTTTACCCGGCGTAATTGAAGGGGAGCTGTATTCAACCAGTCAAGTTTAGAAGGAAACTCTGGTACAATTGTCGCATTCCCCCTGCAACAAAGCATAATATCAATTATTAAATGCCCCCCGACAAAAAATATGTAAAAATAATAAAATGTCATTTATACGTGCATTTTGACATATGAGCTGAGCATTTTGATTTATATCTCAAATTTATATAGTAGGTATATTATTTTGCTGCTGAGAATGGATATCAAGCAAATATTTAATCAATTTCGTGGCATGCCATTCACTTAGTAATTTAACAGTTCTTTGGTTAAGTAAAGCCCCAAAAAAAATTCATAGAATAGAATTTAATTATTCTAGATGCTATATTTTATATTTTGGAAATTTTGGGGGACTAAAGTAACATAATTGTTAATTCAATTTTATTTGGGTCAAATATTTAGATTTCAACAAATCGTAGATAAGCATATCAATATTGAACCCGTTGGATAGCTTGTAATTAATCATACATTTTAGGCTCGAGAAAAAGTTTAGTTTGGATAAGCGAAGCTCAAGTTATTGAAGTTGAAAGACTCTACTTTGATATGTTAGTGCTTTAGGTTTAGATATTAATAAAATTTCCCATGGGCTCCATGTATTGCATTCTTAGGATTGAGGAAATATTTTAATATAAGTATTATATTATTTTTGTCGTGATTTAAAATAAAATTTATGTTTTAATAACTTATGGAGCCACGAGTAGGAGATGTTAAGATTTGTTACCATTTTATATTATTTTATTACTTTTTTCTTTGACTTATTTAAGTGTTGCAGCCACACGTAGTGATCACATTTTGATAAAATTTCATTGAAATTCTGTTTTGATTTGATATGCTCAATAGCAATTCTAATATTCAAAATCTATACATATCAAAATTCCTGGTCCTACACGTTCCCCACTTGACACCAACTCTTTATAGGCAAGGTTATTATTGCCCATAAATGGTATAAAAGCTTAGGTAGAAAATAAAGTTTGATACGCGACTTGTGGATTTTGTCTTTCAAAAATTTATTTTATCTAACGAGGTAGGATAATGAGATGCAGTTGTTTTTTATCCCGTTTAAATTATTTTTTCGTGTTGTCGAACTATTATACTTATGAAAGTTAAAGATATGATATAGTCATCCAATACCAAAGATATGATATGTATTAAACTCTTATTGGTCTCTAAAAATATGATGACGGTATGATAGTTTTTACACGTGATTTAAATATTTTTTTCTGGATTGCACTATTATTTTCGTGTTGAGTATTCTCATGTACTCATCCTTTACCCCTATTCCTCATAGGTTAGAACGAGTCGTTGGTTAGCGCATGAGAGGGTGCAGTCGTGGTGCCAGGATTTATGGGATTCAATTAAATAATCTGGTGTAACAAGACATTTTTATTTTAAGCATTATCTTAGTTTATTTCATAAGGATTTTGTTCTATTTGGAAATTTAAGACATGATTTATTGGGTTATAAATTTCAATCCGTGTTAAGCTATATTAGTGGAATTAACATTTTATTATTTATCTAATAAATGTGACATGCATGGTTTTTAGTATTTATTTGGAATATATTTTATTTGGTTACGAGTTTCTTCTATTAATTAATTTGTGCTCGTTAATTTCATGTGCTTACAATTGAAATAAATAAATTTGGTAGTGGTTTAAACTTTAGAATTTGGGTCGTTACAAGTTAAGTGATTATCCACCAACCAGTGTATTTGTGATATTTGGCATAAGTGTGAACCTCCACTACTAGGTTTCCATGGTGGAGATAATAATACAAGTTGGTGTACTTCATCATCTGGTATTTCACAAACAGCCCCTATCCCACTCAAAGATCACTTTCCCTTTTCAGCAAGTGCATAAAATCAAGACAGGAGAAATAAATTTACCTTTTCTCTAGATCAGCTATGTAGTTTGTAAATTGTTGAATTCTAATGAAACGAGAATCTTCTGCAACAACAAAAATATAACATATTGCATTAAAGAAAGTTGAATTGGTTCTACAGACATAAGTTATGGCAGTTATGATGAGTCAATATTCTAGTAGAACGAATATGTTATAGACCATAAAAATGGAAAAGAAAGATGCATTAATTGAAGTCATTTACAATAAAGAGCAACATGAGGCATCCTTGTAAATTTAAGACCTTTATCCTGTCCAAACGGAGGGCTGCTGGCTCCAAACAACAAATTCCAGATAGCTTTAGGAGATGCATATTGCATTACCTGCAAAGACAAAGCAGCATCCAGAGACATTTTATAGTTAAAATGAAGGAAGAAAGGGTGGATGTGATAATCAATTGTGAATATGCTTCTTTTCCAACATATATTTTCACCATATTCTTTATACCTTCCAGTTTGCTATGGTAAAAAGAAGGCAAGAGATAGCAATTCCCAAACTTCCATATCTCAAAATATCTCGCCGAGAACCCTGCAACCTGTCAATATATCACTTAAATGCAATTTCAAGCAAAGTTATTCCTGACAGCACTTAGTTGATCTTAAATTAGCACGGTTCAACAACAGTAAAGTTATTTCTGCTACATAATTATTTAATTAAATCTTCAAAATAAATGAAAGTATAACATTAAGAGAAAGAAATAGATAGAACAAATGAACAAATGAAAAAAGAAAAACTTTCAACTAGGTAGCATCACAAAGTCAAGTGCATAGCGGATGCAATAATAATATGCAATACCTACAGGCATGGAATCAGGAGAGTTGCTCCACTGTGTACAAAGCGAAAACTTCCAGTTATTAAACAATCATATATCCATGTCAATACTAATACTCTTGTTACATAAATATTTTGCATGCCAATTCTCCAAAATGACTGCAAATGTAGAAATTGCAAAAATTGCCATTACCGTTCACCAAACAAATTAGTCAACTATTTCAGGCAAGTGAAGGTTAACTTGCAGGAATAAAAAAATTTATGATCATGACACAAGTAAAACTGTGACTTAAAGAAATATAAACAAGATTGTGTTGAAGAAAATAGATCCAGGTTCTTTGATTTGTATGCTCTTGACCAATAAAAATAATATCGTACTATAAACAATAAAGCGATCAACTAATAGGACTTCATTTGGAATGCAGTTAAAATTGGAAATTTATGGATTAATCATGGTAAAAGATGCAATGTTGCAGCACAAAAAAGATAAGTATCAATAGTTGTCTCCGAGCCATAGGTAGGAGCGGTCTAAATATGGGTTCTATACGCTCCTGAAATGAAGGATTAACAACTATAAGCAATAATAATCTTGATGAAACAGAACTAATAAAGATTCAACAGAAGACAAAGTTCTCTCTCATAGATCGGCACTTCCCCGCTCAACAATAATAATAATAATATACAACAGTCGATATCTTTTGCTTGAAAGTAAGAATAGATAAGATTGAGAAAACAGTAGATATAAAAGAAAGTATTTGACAAAAAGTAATTCTTAGTTTTTTTCTGATCTATGCAGAATCCTCAATGTTAATCAGAAAATGAGGGAAAAGATTGCATTAGATGAAAAAAAATTGCTGTCAAACTTTATAGTGGTTAAGTCACCTGTATTGGATTGGATGGAAAAAAATATAGCTTACAAAAAGCAGAACATTATAAAATGCGACATATTAGGTTAATGGCGAAACATTTTGCTTAGATGAAATTCTGATTATGTAACAGATACAAAACAATTTTCCTGCCACTGGACGTGTTTTGCGATGAAAAGAACTAGTATCTGCATACAACAAAATCATCTGAAAGTAGCCACAAATCCATTCAATAGTATTTACCAGAGAGATTATTATTCCCAAAGTGCACAGAATCCAGATGACTAAAAGTTAAAAATTTAATCTTCTTAAAAAAGAAACAACTTGAGAATAATTTCTAAACAAAATAAAATTAATGAAACCTACAGAAATATAGAAAAGTAGGAAGTTCCTAGATATAATTAGAACATTAAACTGGAACATTCTGTAAATAAAGTCATTCTTACCCTCCAAAGGAGAAGTCTAAAGCTCTTGGAGAATTATCCTGCAATGAACTACTGTCTCTATAGTTGGAATTCAGGGAACCTTGTGCAGAATCACTGATAGACTGTGATAACTGCATCTTTGCATCTGCAATGGTTTGTTATTATTAGACCTTCATTGCAACAGAATACTACATATCAACCAGTATCCACTAAATAAAAAGGCCAGTTCACCACAACAAGATTTAGCCCTGCTTTCCTTAGGAAAGCCAGAGTCTATACTACAGAAAAAATAAAAGTACAAGGCAAACAATAAATCAGCACAATGAAACAAACCTTCAAATACATATAACATTCATTACAAGAGATGTCTTGGTTCCCAAAATAACATGAAGTGTAACTTCACAAACTACATTACTGATGATACAAAAAGGGATTATATTATAATTCCAGAGCTACATACTATGCCAACTAGAGCCACCATTGATGATATCATCTAGTGATATTTTGCCTATCTCTTTTCTGATAAGTGATGGACCAGCTTCCGTCAAAATATCTTCTGATAATGTTGTCGTTACAGCTATACATCTGCAAGCAGCGCAAAATGAGGAAGCTATTAAGTCAACTAAAACAGAATCATAAAAGACAAGACAGACGACAAAACAGGCAGTAGAATGTTTCCAGTTGTCGAAATTTTCAAAGAGAGAACAATCATGGAAAAAAAACAGCAGTGCATAGTTATTTGAAGAGAAAAAGGGAGAAAGGACAAAATGCAGTTCAAATAATATAAATCAGCTAACTAGTAGTAGAAGAAATGCAATTTATAAACAGATCAAAAATAGGACTTAGAGATTTAATAAATGCACTCAAAAATTTTATAAGATGAAACTTGATGAATTATACAAAGAGAAGTTTAGCAATGAAATGCTATTCAAAGAATATGAAATCCAGTAAAATCAAAAGGAGAGCTCAACCTAAGGAACACATGTCATTCACCAGAGTTGAGAGAGAGGACAAGGGTACGAAAGAGCAACTCACAATCATTGGAGAGAGAAAAGAAACGGAAGCTGTGCTATTAAAGTAAACAATAATATGAAAACAATTGAGTAATTGGTACTTAACAAAAAGAGTACAAAATCTGGACAAGAGGTAAGCAAAAATATAGAATTAACGAAGTAATCATACATCAAACAGAGAATTTCCAACTGAAGACAGCAAAATAGATTGTAGATATCCTAATAAACCTAATATGATTACAGTCATTACCTCATGTTTGCTGATTTGGCAGCTTCTACTCCAGCTAATGCATCTTCGATCACAATACACTGCAACTTATGCTGTAAATATACAAATCAACAGCAACAAAAAGAACAACACAAAACCTTCCAATAGCACACCTCACTAGGGGGAACATTCAAATTCATTGAAGCGGCTAAAAATATATCAGGAGCAGGTTTCAAGTTTTCAAATGCATCCGCAGACACAACTGCATCAAACCTGATGATGCGAGAAGAGAAATTTAACATCAATACAGAATAAAGTAAACTATCTTTTATAGGAGACATAGACCCCATCAATTTATTAAAAGAAATGCTAGCAGCTTCAACTTTATATGTAAAGAAATGTGAATTCATTAATTATAGAAGCAATTGCCAAGAGGATAAGGAATATTTTAATATTAATAAAATAACAAAAGTCAAGGATAACATATCTTTTCAACTAAAAATAATTAAAGAAAAGGGTAAGCCCTCGAACTTCTTGCTTCTAGAAATCCATATGATGCTCAAAAGCATAGCTCTATCCAATTACTTTGAAACTTATATTCTTTCTTTCATCAAAAATCTTGTTGCTTTTCTCTGTACAAATCACCCAAACCACCACCTTTCACATACTTACGCCCATCTTGCCCATACCAAAGTTAATTAGCTTTCAAGGAATAAATCAAAAAATACACTATAGTCTCTTTCAGCATCAAGATGTAAAAAATAAGCAAGCGGTAGAGTCTAGATCCTTGTACCCTTCTCACACCATGAATAGGGAGAGAGAAGTATCTATGATCCCTTTATAGACATAGCACTCCATAAGAAGGGTGAGGGGGTGGAAGAGAAATGACATATATTCACCCAATTTACAAGCACAACTTTTTCAATTAAGTACTAGTTATAGAATACTTGGAAGGGACACAAGACTTTAAAATAAAACTGATGGGAGAAAGATAGGGTAGTTTGACAAATCAGAAAAGTATAGAAGAATGAGTTACAGCAAAGGAAACAAGGAATTCAAGGATGGCCATCCAAGAGGGCAAAGGTAAACTATCCCTCTAATTATGTTAGTGAAAATTCCCATTGTTTAATTGCAGCTAGAGGTTTCAGAATATTCCTTGCGCTAAGCGTCACTGTCCCATTTTCAGAGAGTGAACCAAAAAATCTTAATGATTTCAGACCATTTCATTCAATAACTGCAGTACGGAATGTTGTCCTGTGTCTACCATCTCATCTAAAATATTCAGTTGTTAAAGAAGGACTATTAATGTTCAATTAAATCTTCTCCTCAACACATCTAATTTCATCTTTTTTATCAAATGTCTGATGCATGCAAAACATCGGTAATGGCAAGACTTGAACTTAGCTCATTTGCCTGGATTGATACTATAACACCCCATACCCCGATGCCTGTACTTAATTGTAAGAGTTTAGAAGTTTAGGGGACCTATTTGCAATTTCCAAAATTTGAGCTTCGGACCATCTACGGTATCCGATTTTTCTTGTCCAAGTAGAAAAGGAAATATTTTGTTATTTTATGCAGTTCCTTAAGTTTTGCATAAATTATTAATCCATTCACTAATATGCTTATTAGGAGTTATTCTCACCCCCTTTACGTTTCCTCCTTTTAGGTAACTAAGGTTTGAGTAGATTGGAATGTGGATGCCGCAAGAGGTAGTGGAATATGATTGAGACTTATTTTAATTAAGTTTATTTTTATGTTCATTAAGGGATATAATGATTTCTTTCAAGTTAACACTATTTTCTATTAAGTTATAAATATGGGTGAACTTTAATTTAATCCTTCAAATTTATTATTTTATGATTATTACTCAATTAGTTATACATTTTTCTCACCCCAAGTAATTACGGTATAGGCATCACAAATACTATGTCAATCATCTCATCTGAAATCTTAAGTTGTTAGCGAGGGACAACATGTATCCTAAAAAATGTCTTCCACATCCTGCATCAAAAAAATGTTGCATTCATGATTTATTATAATTTTGCATATGCACATGCATATATACATGTAGACACATGCATGTGCTTTAAGGAATAAATTATGGGTGAGATTTCCATCTGCAAAAGTGCAAAATTGTCAAAGGGAGCTTCAGAAAAAAACTATAACTGATACAACCTATACTCGTCGAACTTAGCTAACACGGTCAGTTTTTCATCAGAGATGTTAATTATTAGGAGAAATATTTATTGAAATTTCAGTTCCCGGACTCATCCATCACAGAAATGCCGATTCAACACATGTAAAGGTCAATCCATGGTAGTAATCCTTCATATTAAGATTTTGATTATATTTTTTTTCACAATACAGTATAGTGAATGAAAATGCAAACATTTTTTAGTGTATTTTAACACTAAGTGAGCTTCTACCAACTTTATAAATTATACTGGAAAGCAGCACTGGAAACCAATTAAAAGTAGGAATTATAGCAATGTGGGTAGTTATTATCATTCCCACCTTAATATCTCAGTCACAAGGCCTGCTTGTGAAGCAACCGAAGTTGATGAATGCTTCAAGTATAAATTGATAAATATGCAAACAGAAATTATAGGCTTCTATGGCTGGCTGGCAAATTTGGTATACACAAATATTAAGAAGAAATGAAGGATTACTGAAATATTCGAAACTATTTTTTTATAAGATGACAACAACAAATGTAACACTAGCTTACATTGATAAAGGCAAACCAGCAGCTGCTAAATTTGCTTCAACCTTGATGCGATCAGCACTGGATGCAACAGCAACTTTGAGACCATTACTCTTACACTGTTCATTATAAATAGATAAAACTATTAATCTAGCAGAAAAATGAAATTTTAAGTCTTTATTTTGCCTGTATACCTCTGTTACAAGTTCCAAGGCACCAGGGAAACCTATGCCAGAATTTGGTTTCGCATACTGCAAAATGAAAATTGAACAACTTTAAGGTTCAATTATCTAACGGAGAAATTAGCAATTGGAATACACAGTGGACGTTATTAAGAAACAGATAAATGGATACAACAAAAAAGACATAACCTTATCCAAGTATATCTCAAAAAATCTCTTCTTTGCCTCCTCAGGATTGAATTCCTTAACACCCTTCACAGAAGCAACCCCTCCTAAAAAATTGGCTTCTCCTGTTCCATTTTTAGGATAATTATGCATGCAGATAAGAAAGAGGATAAAAGAAAAACAGAGGTTAGTAGTAGGAAGGAAAAAGAAAAGGAAAAAAAGGAATGATACATCCCAATGTTTGCCTCCGATTAATATGTATGAACGACAATTTAAGGGAGTCGAAATTTAAATGTATAAGCTGCCTCTGAGATGGACTGGATTTTAAACTGTAAGCTTCAGAGAGCAGTAAACTTAAAAGATACACTATGGATTCTGATAAAAGAAACAATATTAAGACTAAGAAACAAGTAAAGACTTCTTTAAAATGTCCAGAACCATTTTAGCCTAAGGCTGTACCTTACATAGGATAGATTATGGAACTTTGGATGGATTGAGAAACTGGCTGAAGCTAGCTTTAAAGCACACTTGTTGTCTCAGTTTACAGGGGACTAATGAGAGATCTTTCTTAAGGTCACCAAGTGGCAAGGGCTCTACTAGCTATGGAGTTTCTGCAACACATCCAGATTTACTGGTGGGAAGTTTCTTAAACATATTATCTTAATAATAAATAAGGTCTCTAATGACTGAGCAATACAGCATTATACGACAAGAAAGTTGTTAGCAGATTGCCTCTTCAAAGGAATCCTGAAAACGGGAAAATATCAGCTATCGCATGCTGATTTAACCATCTTCAAGTCTGGAGTAAATGAGATGAAGAAGATAGAATTTAAGAGAAACTCGCAAAACACTTTTCATTAGGCATTCAATGTCAATGAAAAGCATTACAGATAATGAAGGAAGCAATGGAAAAGTAAATTCCATATTGGCCGTTGACCTTGTTAGGTTCATTGTAGACTGAATGCATCCAGGACCAAAAAACAAAATCCCACAGGAAGCCCCGTATAGGGATTTGTGGTGTTTGGTGTCTTCCATGTGCATAAAGAAGCACCATCTTTCCTCAACCTTTGCTGAAAATTTTTAGGAACCATGACCGTCAACGAAAATGCTGGCCTTAGAGTTTGTGTGTAGTGATTCGGATAGAAAGGCTTTCAGTTGGATTTGGAGAAATCACAACACTGCTATCTGATTTTGCTGGTGTATATATTGTGGTCCGAATTCTAAGAAGACCATCAGTGATGGCTGGAATGTATTAGTAATGAAGGCTAAGAACTGTAGAAAAGGGCACCCATAGAACAATAGAGTAGGCTAACACCATCACACAAGTTGCAATATATTCTTTGGTTATATTAATTATAGACATTGAACTGTATATATAGGAAACAAATATGAAAATAGTTTCTGCTTATATTCTTCAGAGACAATGCAATGTGAATATAGAAAACAATCAGCAGGCTACATTAAATTTGTGCTGATAAAGTTATCAAACGGGGAAAAAACTTCGAGAAATTCTACATACAATTTTAGGATATAATTCCAATTTATGGAATCAAGACTATATTCATCAATAATTTGAAATCTTCAACAGATGAAAATGATAAGTAGTACCAAATTGAAAAATTTATATCTTAAATTATCTAAATTAAAATTGTCGCAAAAGATAAGGAAAGTCATTTCATTTTGGAATTATTATCTGCATTGCCAGTGTATCTTTACAAAAGCATATTTGACATATTGCCACATCAGACAAAATCCCATTCCATCCTGAAATAGTCACTGATAAGCAGAAATTGGATTACAATGCAAAATAATGAGGTTCTGGTAAAATATTCGTATTTTTAGTGTATGAAATTCACTCTTTCTTTTGTGAAAAAACAAAAATCTTTTGTAATACAGATTCACACACCCCCTCCCCGTCCCGCTCCCCCCAATCAAAAAAACAAAATTTCAAGATTGTTAGAGGTCTCAATCCCCGCTTGTTTGCATATGTGGTTCAGGAACATGGATTTGCAAGTAAACCAGTCCCAATCTCAGAATTTTGTTCATGCCTCTATGTATCCAATCTGTGTAAAGTATGCAAACATATACTTGCCTACTATCATAAACAACCAAACAGGTGACGATTTTAACATCAACAAATTAATGAACCTCTAAAGATGAAATAATCGAGAATAATGGATAATTTTACCTGTGCCCATGAAAGGCACAAAGTCCTCAACAGTTACTTGTACTCCCATTTCAGCAAACACGTCAACGGCAGCCATTCTAGAAAGCTCTTCACTGTTGCACAGCACTCCATCCATGTCGAATAACACTGCCGAAACCTTCCCCCACTCGCTGCAAGTTTCTGGGACATTCTTTTCCTCCAATTTAACGCACGCCTTTGTTGTAACTCCCCTTCGAGAAAACACACTGTTACCATTCGATGGCCATTGAAAACACAGATAACTTGAATTTGCGTTCGAGAAAAACAATTTTTTTAGCTGGGTTTTTGAAAAGCAAGTGGAACATGGTGGCGATAACAGTCTCAAGGACATTCTCTGAGAGTTGGAGGGGAGGGGAGGACGGAGGTCACCAAATCTATTCTTGCTTTGTGTTCGAGTGGCGGGGAAGGAGTTTCAGTTATTATTGGATCTTATATGACAATAGTACCCTTTTTATGTGTTGATAAATTGGGAGAATGGATATTGGTGGGTCCACATTTGTGGAATTGAGAGAGGGAGAAAAAGTTGCTTCTTCTGGTCATTACTTTTCTTTTTTTCTATTTTTGTGGAGGATATTAATCAGACAGCCAATAAGTAATTGGATGATAATTTTGGCCTTTTATGTTAAAAATATAGTTTATTTTTTTCCCATTTTCACTTGCATTATAATGATCAAATTTTTCTAAATACCAATAAAAACTGACCCGGGCATCAGAAAGGGTCGAACCGAAATTGGACCAAATGACAAATTAAATAAATAAATACACAAATAAACTATAAAATATCAAAACTGTAATAGATTTTTAAATTTCAGTTTTCTCATTGAAAGTAAACATAATACATTTGTTAATTTTATTTATTATAGTAATTTATTTTATAGCCTCAAAAACTAACAATTAAAATGTCCAAAATATTTTTGCTTTGTTCAAATTGAAAATTATAATCTTATTGGGTTAATGATTTGTTAATGAAAATAATGAAGAAAATTAGTAAACACTTAGAATTGACAATTGATTAGTATCTCACATTCGAAAATTACTACAACACTAGAAAAAGAGTCTCCTTTAAAAATGAGTTGGTATCCCACATTGGAATGTTACTAAAACATTGAAAGAAGTATCTCCTTTAAAAAGGAGCCAAAGGAGAATCATCTGTATAAAAAAGTTATTTGGATCTTCAATTGTGATGAGTGACCAATTAAGATAGTTAAAAAATTTTGTGGAAAAAACTAGAAAAATTTTGGTTGGTTTTTCAGTTCAAGATTAAATCTGCGAGGTTGATGGTTTATTTGTTAGTTCTTTATTTTTCAGTTAATGACCGAGTGTCGAACCGAATTAAAGGTCGAATCACGATTTTTTCAGTTGAATTCCGATCGGAAGCATCTCCAAGAGACTTAATAAATATGAGGTATTTTCTAGTTTAAAGAGGCAACCCTTATAATCATTCTCCAAATTTTTTTTAAAATTTAGAGAGGAGGTTTGATTCTAGAGATTTGGAACACTAGACTCACTCTCTATAATTAAATGTATTCAAAATATCAGTATTTTCAATATAAAAAAATAATATAATAATCTAGAGAAAAAGTTAATTAAAAATAAAAGTAAAGAAAAATAATAAATATTTTTCAAGAGTGACAAAAGTATGTGTTAAATATAATAAATTATAGAATATGCTATTTAAAAATAGAAAGTCTTTTGGAGATTTTCTTACGTTAGATATGTTAATGGAGAAATTTTACATTATTTTAATATAAAAGTACGAAATAACCTACAAAGGCTTTTATTTTTCATTTTGATTATTTATTTAGAACTTATTTGCACTTTTTCGAAAAATTCAAAACTATAAAAGGCACTAGGCACTCCCATGGTTCACAAGAAGGAAAATGATTCATCCTTTGTTGCACCTAGCACCAGAGAGAGAGAGCTTTTTTTATCGATGAATAATGGATTAACAAAGCTCTTGACATTGCTTTTTTTTTTCCCCTCTCATTTCTTATCAGTGAGCTTGTACTCTTTTACTCTGAATCTATTCGTTTGTATCAAATTGCTTATAGAATCAAATCACGTTCCATAAGATCATATATCAGCTATACATCCTCCTTGCATTTACGACGGAGAAGTCGCCAATACCATATGTTGGGACCAGGTGGAAACGTAATGCAAGAATTGAGATTTAATGGACACCAATTTAAAATATAAATACAAGATCGTAAAATACCACGAACAAGATTCAAGTAAAGAAATAAATTGGCAAAGGAACAATGTTATTTTATTCCATCAATGAGAGAAGAGAATTACAACAATTGGCTTCAACAATACTGAAAGAGGAGACTCATATTTATACCACAAAAGTTTAGCGCTGAAAGAGTCATAAAAATGTAAGAATTCTATGTTAAACGTGAAAAGGAAAAAAAACGAGACAAGGACTTTGTTTCCTTATTTTACGGATACTATTTGATTCTCCAAATCATCACGCATCTTCAAGATTTCCTTTCCAATTTGAGTCATGCATCTTCAAAAATGAGAGCAAATAGTGAGTTGAAAAAAAAGAGAGAAAATATTGAGATAGCCAGTAGAGAGAAAAAGAGAGTAATCACAAGAGAGAAAAGAAAAAGAATGCCCCGAGAGAATAGAGAAAACACGAGCAAATTTCTTTGCAAAAGAGAGTGATTTGAGGAGAGCGGTAGTTGAGAGAAAATAGATGATCTTGTTCTTTTATAAGGAATCACTCCTCAATTTTGAAGAAATTAACCCACCCCTCCCTAATTTGGCGAAGTTTTTGTTGCAGGAATTCGACGATATATTTTCGGAGGATGCACCAAGTGGATTGTCGCCTATTCGAGGCATTGAACATCAAATTGACTTCATACCCGGAGCTGTCATTCCAAATCGATCGGCTTATCGAAGTAATCCCGAGGAGACTAAGGAGTTTCAAAGGCAAGTGGAGGAGTTAATGAGCAAAGGATACGTGAGGGAAAGCATGAGTTCTTGTGCGGTACCGATTTTGCTTGTGTCAAAAAATGATAGAACATGGCGAATGTGCGTGGATTGTAGGGCTATCAACAACATAACGGTAAAGTATCATCACCCTATACCTAGGTTAGATGACATGCTTGATGAATTACATGGTGCTTGCATATTTTCTAAAATTGATTTAAAAAGCGGATATCATCAAATTCGTATGCGGGAGGGTGATGAATGGAAAACGACTTTTAAAACTAAATATGGTTTATATGAATGGTTGGTTATGCCGTTTGGACTCACAAATGCACCTAACACTTTTATGCGTTTAATGAATCATGTTTTACGTACTTTTATAAGAAAATTTGTTGTGGTTTGTTTTGACGACATCTTAATCTCTAGCAAAGACCTAGGAGAACATTTAGAATATTTAAAGTGTGTGTTAATTGTTTTAAGGAAAGAACAACTATATGCTAATCTTAAGAAATGCACGTTTTGTATGGATAAAGTTATTTTTCTTGATTTTGTGGTTAGTGCTAATGGGGAAGAAGTAGACGATAAAAAGATAAAAGCCATTAGAGATTGGTCGACACCTAAAAGCATAACGGAAGTTAGGAGTTTTCATGGTTTGCCTAGTTTTTATAGGCGTTTTGTGAAAGATTTTAGCAATATCACCGCAACACTCACGGAAGTAGTTAAAAAGAGTGTAGGTTTTCATTGGGATGATGAACAGGAACTTGCATTTAATACTATTAAAGGTAAATTGTGTGAAGCACCTGTTTTGGCATTACCTAACTTTGATAAAACATTCGAGATTGAGTGTGATGCATCATGAATAGGGATTGGAGCAGTTTTAGTGCAGGATCGAAGGCTTATTGCATACTTTAGCGAGAAATTGAGTGGAGCTGCTTTAAATTATCCTACATATGACAAAGAACTTTATGCAATTGTTCGAACTTTGGAAACTTGACAACATTATCTATGGCCGAAAGCGTTTGTAATACACACCGATCATGAGTTACTAAAGCACTTGCAGGGACAAGACAAATTGAACAAGAGGCATGTACGGTGGATGGAATTCATTGAGACATTTCATACGTCATTCGGTATAAAAAGGTAAGAAAATGTGGTGGCGAATGCGCTGTCGCGAAGGTACGTATTGTTAATTACTCTTGGTTCTAAGCTACTTGGATTTGAACATATTAAGGAATTATATGAAAAAGATGTTGAATTTTTAGATATTTATTTGTCATACATAAAAGGGGTGGTTGATAGGTTCTTTAGACATGAGGGGTATTTATTTCGGGAAAATAGGTTATGTGTTCCTAATTGTTCTATTCGGGAGTTGTTAGTAAGGGAGGCACATAGTGGTGGATTGATGGGACAATTTGGGGTTTAAAAGACTTTAAATATATTGAAAGAGCATTTTTATTGGCCTAAGATGAAAAGTGATGTTGAGCAAATTTGTAGTCGATGCATAGGTTGTAAAAAGGCTAAATCTAAGATTTTACCTCAAGGTTTGTACACACCTTTACCTACACCTAGTAAGCCTTGGGTTGATATCCGATGGATTTTGTTTTGGGTTTACCTAGGACTAAGAGAGATTGAGATTCTATTTTTGTGGTTGTAGATAGGATCAGCAAAATGGCACATTTTATACCATGTCACAAAACTGAAGATGCCACGAACATTGCTGACTTATTCTTTAAAGATTGTGCGTTTACATGGGGTTCCTAGAAGTATAGTGTCGGATCGGGATGTCAAATTTTTGAGTCACTTTTGGAGAGTTTTGTGGAGCAAGTTAGGCACTAAGTTACTATTTTTCACAACTTGTCGCCCACAAACGGATGGACAAACCGAGGTAGTGAATAGGATTATGACACAATTGTTACACACAGTAATCAATAAAAATTTGAAGAGTTGGGAGGAGTGTCTACCATTTGTTGAATTTGCTTACAATCAAGTCGTTCACTCTACTACGTCATATTCTCCATTTGAAATTGTATATAGTTTTAATCCACTAACTCTTTTGGATTTAATTCCTTTACCTGTGAATGAACGTGGTAGTTTAGATGGCAAAAAGAAGGCAGAATTGGTTAAGTCACTCCATGAAAAGGTAAAAGCGCAAGTTGAAAACAAAAGTAAGATGGTTGCGTTGCAGGCCAACAAAGGTAGGAAGCACGTGACATTAGAGCCAGGAGATTGGGTTTGGGTGTACCTTAGGAATGAGCGATTTCCGGAGCAAAGGAAGTCCAAGTTGCAATTGAGGGGCGATGGACAATTTCAAGTGATTAAAAAAATAAACGACAATGCTTACAAGTTGGACCTTCCAGGTGAGTACAATGTTTCGGCTACTTTTAATGTATCTGATCTCTCTCTTTTTGATGCAGGTTCAGATTCAAGGACAAATCTTTTTGAAGAGGGAGGGGATGATATAATCCAGGAGTCGAGCCCGATGAAGGCGAGTGCGAGACGAGA